AGCTATAATACATAAGGACCCAAAAAAGACCGCTAGAGACAACCTCACCTAAACTTTTTGTTCCAGCGATCGCATGGTTTGTCCGGCCTGTGGCCAAGCCAAATCAATGGGCGGCACTTCCTTTGTAACGGGAATGTTTGCGATGGAGCGTCCGATGGAGCGCAAGCCTGTTTATTACTGGCTGTGCTAGACTGCAAGCTAATTACCAGTTTATCGCCCCTAGTTTATAGCCCTTAGTACTTTTGCTGCTATACGCGTCCATCTACTAATTACCTGTCCTGAGACCGCCGCCTACGTTCTCCGATAGGACAAACTGGCTGAGTCCCACTTCCACTTGCGCTCACAAGTTCGGACGCCCCCAGTACAGAATGAGATAAGTAGGTGTCAATAAAAAGCTCAACAAATGAGGCAAGTAGGTAAAGGAAGAAGACGAACTCAAGCGTGATCCTGCATCGGGAGGTGTTTAGAGCAAAGCAGATAAAAGTCTTCTCAAATTGGAAGCAAGTGGTCCGATGGCTTACCGATTCCGTATTTTCAATCTCCAAGAAAGGGGTTGCATCAAGCTCAGCCAGGAGGGGATGTAGACGTTCTGCGTCCTCCACAGTGGGTAGGCTAACTGAGCAGAGTTCAACATCGAAGAGGGGCAGGGAATGTGAGTAGTCGGAGGGACTATTGCTGGTTGGGGTTGAGTCTTCGAGGGAGGCCTTTCGGCGGCTAGGCCATCGGTGACGCCGGCGGAATGTAGATGGGGATCCGTGCTTTGAGCAGGAGGCGGAACCCGGAGCTGATACCGGTGCCGCGGTCGAGGAGACACTGATGGTTTAGGTAAAACAGCGCAATTTATAGGCGCGACACTTTATATTTACTTCCCGGTAAATAATACCCACACGAACCAGTCTGCATGCGACTGAACGTTAGTACAAAAACCGACGATCAGTACGGGTCAGTCAGAGCAAGACTATTAAAGGCAGAAGTTACTAGTGAATGAAGGCTACAAGGTTAACAACAGTTTCAGTTGCTGGAACCTCGGTTTGTCGAATGAGTACGTGGATTCTATGGCGGCAGTTTCGATGCCTAATG